GCACACCTCCCCCCCCAAGCCCACCCACGACAGTGGGTGGGGGTGGGGTTGGGGGTGAGTAGAGATCCACCACGTCTTAAAGTTGCTGTGGTTGGGAAGCTGGCCTTAAAGACGGGCCCTGCTGGCTTCCAACATTTGTTTCCTTGTGAAAGCAGCTTCTCGTATGCATCTCTACATTTTTCCCTGAAAAGAGGGTTCATTTCTCGGTCCAGCATTTTCCTGCAGTTTCACCTTGCAAAAACCCAACCCTATTTCCGAGAAATCTGACCATTCCAGCCTGTATCTTATGGAGACAGACAAACATCTCAGGAACTTGAATGCTACAGATGTCAGCTTTCACACAGCTGTCCCCTCTCCCCCTCCATCCGGATTCAAGCATGTCCTGCCTAAGAAACCTGTGTGCAAAATGCTTTCGCCAGTGCGCACGGACAGCCCAAGGCTTTCCTTTCCATCCACCCCCAGCCCACTTGTTTTTCCGGATTTCATGGCCACCACGCTCTGCAACTTGGTTTTCCAGCAGTCGCTCCTGGAGACTGACGGGCTCTTCTTGCAAAGCCAGATTTTCACTGACGAGGGGCCACGTCAGAGCCACGTCTAATTTGCCACCATGCAGGATTTCATCACTGCTTAACCCAGGAAGGGAGCAATAAGCCGCGACTGCACGCCTCGCGCCCCGTCCACCCCACTCCCTGCCACGCAGACCAGGGTTTTGAAAAATGTGAAGCCTACCGTAAGCCAATTTCCATTCCTGCAAATCCAAGCACGGTCCCCGGACAAGCGCTCAGCCTCATACGGTGGCTAGCAAGGAGTTCCCTGCAGGGTTAGGATCACGGGCTTATTAATCCTCTCCTGGGGCTTAATGCAGCCCATGGATCCAGCCAGATGCTGGAACTGCGTGAGACGCCATCCAAGGTCACAAGCTAATTTAATAATACAATCACAAGGGACACGAGAGATCATGTTGTGCAACCCCCGGCCAGTGCAGGAATCCGCTGCTAACAGATGGGTCTCACGCACGTAGGGTGTTCGCCGCATCTCTGAGCCCAGAACGTGGCACGTTTGGACAGAAGAGGCCTTCTTCAGGAGGGTCAGAAGGGACCATACAGCGAAGACTAACATTGCCAGAAAGGGTGGCCTCCTCACTGGGGAGCATTTATGGCCCTGGAAGGGGACTAAAGGTTGAGATGGGGGAAGAGGTTGCCTAGAGTCAGACCCTCCCTCAAAACTCCAAATCCCACCACTGAAGCCCAGCATGACCCCAAAGTGCTCTGGGGAGGAGGGGAGGGGAGGGGAGGGGAGACTATCACCTGGTGCTTGCAGGCAGCCCACCCACTTTTGCAATGCCACCAAGGTCACTCCTCTGACTCCAGACCAACGTCCTTGCAAGAAGCTGTCACGGCTGCTGCGTTTATAAGCACCTTTCACAAGACAAGGGAACGCCCAAAATTTCTGACACACCTCAGCTATGAAACTCCACTTTGTAATTTGGCAATAACGTTCCTCTTGTGCCTGTGTTTTCATTCAGCGAGCTCGGCCCCATTAACAGTCCTAGTCAAGGAAGCATTTATCAGCTTGAGCCCATCATCCCGCTGCCTTTCGTTTGCCAGCGTTTATTTGCAGGAGGCGGGTTTGTGGAAGAGGACAGAACAGCCCAAGCTGCTTGTCCTGAAGTGGGACAGCCCTTCCCATGTACACCGGCCTCTACCGCTTCATTCTGGTACAAGCAGGGATCGGGGCCCCTCTGAGGGGCAGCCCACACGCCGAGCACAGGCTGTAATTCAGCTGCAAATGCAGCCATTCAGAATTTGAGATAGCTGTGAACCCCAAGAGTTGGTCAACCACGGTGGACTGTGAGCCCACTCCCACCAGATGCTGTGAAATGTAAAGAACCAAATACAGCTGTTCCCCCAGTAATATCTCACACTGCAGAGGGTTTGGGGTCTCTTCTTGCCTTGGAGGAGGACCAGGGGGACTCAGCCATGGGTCCCCCCACACCAGAGGAGCATCAAAGCCAAAGAAGCATCAACTGCCCCTCGGAGTCACTCTCCCCATGTTTACATCCAGAGGCACCCACATGTAGACCTGCATCCGGCCTCTGCTTCCCCAACCATCACGGAGATTCAATGGGAGAATTTTTTTAGAGTGTGTAAAGCAGGAAGCGCTCAGCAGAGAGGTTGAAGAATCTGTCCACTTGGCTAAGCTGCCCAAAAGGCTTTCTCCTCTCCATTCGTGGGAAGAATTTGCCTGGTTGGCTGGAAGACTGGGGGGAGGCTATGATCTGGGCAACCTGCAGGTCTCCAGATGTTGGCCAATGGTGAGGACTATTGGGAATTAGAGCTGCATATCTGGAGGTCTCCTGTCCTCGATAGAACTATGCACACACACGGGCATGAACATCCTCTGCACATCCTTAGATGAGTGTGCCTGTACCAGACCTCTGCCAGGAGGGACCTGACCATGTTTACCTTCTCAACCAACCAACCAAACCCCAGCCCTCACCTTCTGATGGTGACAGCAGCTCATCTCTTGCTACAAGGAGGCAAAGTTCATCCTCTACATAAGGGGCTTTTTAGTGTGTGCGCCTTGAACCAACAGAGGCCTTGTGTATTACACATATTGCCAAATCTGAACTCACATTTTGAGACTTATCTGGGTACCCATCTGCAGTGGCTCTCATTTCAACAACGTTCATGCTTCTGCCAAACTTACAGACATCTATTGCTGGGGGAAAACCTAGCCCATGATGGAGAAATCTGTTAATTCTTTGACCACGACTGGTTCTCAGAAAACACGCCAAATGGGAAAACCCAGGCCTACAAGGAGAGCAAGGGGATTAGCTGTTTTCTCAACAGAAGAGATTTAGTGACTGTACCTTTTTTCATCAAAATAAACGCAGAAAAGCATATAGGGAATTCTGCATGGTGACATTTCTTTCTTTTTAAAATAAAAAAAAAAACAGATTATAATTAGGTTTTCCTCAATTTGCAGAGATTCAAGCGACTGTTTCTCTACTGGGGGGGTGGGGGGTAGGTGGCAAGGTGGTTTCTGCCCTGCAGAAAATTATCTCTGCACAAAGAGATATCTCTGCGCGCTATCCGGGGACAACCCCAAAATGCACTTTCACATCTTAGTTATCTCCTTCTTCCCCAAACAGCAGATTTTTTTTTCCAGCTTTGGAAATACCACATTCGCTCTCTGTCTCTTTCTCTCACACACACATACACACTCACAGCTAGAAATAAACGTCTTAGCTTTAGGACCAGCCTTCAGCTGAAAACCACACCACAAAAGGGCATGAAAAAAGGAAGATGCGCGTGTCCGACTACCCAATGTGGGGTGATCATCCTTCATCTCCCCAGGAATATTCAGTTCCTTCTATTGCCGTTTTCAGCCCACCTTGTCAAGTCTTTTTCTGTATCCTTCAAAAGCCCCACAGGGGAACAAAAAATAGGAGAAAAAGACCCCCGTTTTCTAACTTTTTTCAACAGACCCCTTCCCCACATCGGCCAATGTTTTTTCTGTTTTCCTTCAACTTCATGAGAAGGGAAAAGTCTGAGAATCTCCTCAGGACCTTTGGGGTCCAGCACCTCCCTCTTAGACCAAAATCGGAAGAGCTAAAGGATGTTGACTTTTTGGGAGCAGGACAAATTGTTATGGACCAAATTCCACATGATGATCAGATCACTCGGAAGAAGTTTATGGACCACCAACATGTTTTTGAAGAAACAAGGTTCTCGGTTCATTCGGCTGTTCTTGTTTTTCACAAGGCCAAACGTTTTGAAGCCGGTATGAGCCACAGGCATCACCTTTAGGACTTCGAGACACATCCCCAAGAACACATCGTCGATGGGATACAGCTCCAGATTTTCAGAGACTTTGTGGAGTCGCTTGGCCAGGGAGCCATCCATAACAAACCCACCCCCACCTGCATAGGGTGGGTAATGGCTCTTGTTGTACAAAGCATTGGGAATATAGTATTTGTTCTCCTTCTTGCGAATGGGCTTTGCCTTGATCAGGACATCTCCCACAAAGAGGTCACCCTCCTTCTGATCCTGCAGGAACTCCAGGATGTTCTCAGGACTCACAAAGACATCATCGTCGCCCTTGAAGATGAACTGGACGTTGTCACAGTAGATGTTGAACCACTTGAGGAAATGGACTTCTTTAAGGGTGAGGTTGAAAAAGCTATCCAAGAAGTTCCACTGCAAGATGTCTCCATAGATACGATCCTCGTACTCCAGCAGTTTTTGGTAGTTGGACCTCTCCTCTTCTTTGGAGGCCACGCCCAAGAGGAAGACGGTCCTGATTTTTTTGCCATCCAACTCTTTCTCTTGCCCCCACGTCATACGAATGGCTTCTCGGCGATCGTACTGAGTTATGATGGACTTCACTACAATCAGCATGTAGATCTCTCCTGTGCATTTCTCTGGGTGGTTGATGATCATGGGGAAATATCGACAGTGGCGGTAGAGGAGAAACTGCTGGAAATTGGGCTCCAGGTTTCTGAACCACTCGTCCTTGGTGAAGTTGAGATTGGCCGTGCAGTTGATGGCTGTCACATCCCACGAAGTCACCTCTTCCTTTGTTTCTTCAACGTCCTGGGAAACAGCAATATCCTTTTTCCAGAAATTGCTGGCCACGGACATCACCTCATCTCTCTTCTGGGCTTTTATAGACTCTTGGGAGAAAAGCAATTTGTGCGGCTGGCTCTGAAAGAGCTGGTTGGGGACGGTGGCTTTCTGCAGCACCGTCACTGTTACTATCAGTGCAAAGGACAGAAGCAAGCTTTTGTATACGGTCTTCTTCCTGGCATGAGAAACAGAGACAGAAAAGAATCAAGGGAAACATCAACCCAAATGTTATTTATTAGTCAACGGAAAAATGTGGCAGAGCCAAGTTGACGCCGAACGTAGAACCCCTTTTCCCAGTTTGGCCAGATTTTTCAGTCCCTCTTTAGTGGTTTCCCAGGGAACTCGAAGAGTTTAGGGTGCAAAACGGATAAATATTTGTAAAAGTCACACCAAGGCGTTCCAAGCCGTGCACAGGCCTTTCATCCTGGCTTTCCGTCCCTCGGGCCTCCGAGAGCCAGTATCGGGGGCTTGCCCTCCACAGGCAAACTCTGATAAATTAAATGAAGCGCAGCCGGAGAAACAGCAAGGCTATAAGGCAGACCGTAGCGTCTTATTTTACCAACGGATCAGCCACCCAGCCTCAACCACAAACGTTCGCGCCTTGCGAGACACTCAGCCGTGGCAGCAACTGTCTTTGGCCACGGAAAGCGACTCCCTCCGCGAAGCTGGCACCTTACCCGAGCCGTGTCCGATTTCCACCCAGATTCCAGCTAGCTCCGCCACCCGTTGCAAACCGGCAGAAAGACAGTCAGGTTTCTGTTTGCTGACTGGGGCCTTTCCCCAAATAGAAGAGCGACTGTTTCCCAGCTGGCCACCCCCCTCACCCCCCCACCCCCAGCGAGAAGCAGGAAAAGGGGGGTTCATGCGCTCGGTCCAGAATGCGCACGGAAGATCAGCAACGCAAGCCTGCAGACCAGGCAAAGCACATTTTCCCTTTCAAGTGGGGCTCCCAGATCCTCAACCCCGCTGAACAGCTGCCATCCATTCCAAGGGGAGCCCCCTTTTTCCCATGGTTTGAACTCGGGTTGTCCTGCAAGATCAGACCAAAGTGGATTCTATTTTGAGCACCCTGATAAAACAGCTCCCAAAAGCGCACCAAGATCACACAGTCATCCCCTATTTCCCCCAGCACTTGGTATTCAGGTATACTGCTCCTGTACACGGAGGTCATTTTTACTTTGCCAGCAGGGAAATTAGTCACCAATGGCTGAAGGTACGTTGGACGGGGCTAGAAATTGTTAAAGCTGATTAAAGTTAGTGGACGCCACCAGGTTGCTGCTATGAATTCCAGGTGTTCATATAAGCTGCACAAAATATTTCTTTGCCCCCCACCTGCGTAAGGCCACAAATTCAAGTTCCCCCTCCCCAGCAAAAAACAAAAACAAAACTGAGTATTATGGAAAAGGGAGCTGGACATTCATCTCGTCATGGTGCTTCCTAATTTTCTAAGTTGTATCCGTGGCCCATCTCAGTCCCTTTTGTAACTCCAAGGAGCTTAATGTGATTCAGCTCTAAATATCTTGCCTGGGTTTGGCAACTAGTGTAATTTGAATTTTTGAGAGCAAATCTTTGCCGTAAGGCAGGAAGGAGGTCGGTTATAATCCTACCACATTGGGGAGGGTCTGACTCTCTAACTCAACAGGAGCTGCCTTCTGGCAACTCAAACTGTAGAGCACCTCCGGGCACATCTAGTCCAAGCCCTTCTCAGCGCAGGAATCCCTTAAACCCATGTTTCTCAACCTTGGCCACTTGAAGATGGGTGGACTTCAACTCCCAGAATCCCCCAGCCA